AGAAAAAATATGCTTTGTTTTCAAAGGAGCAACAATTAGACCAAAAGGTAAGATAGCAATGTGTGGACTGGCATGATGCTAGAATATAATGGAATGGTATCCCCAAAGACAATGAATAATGTCCTCAAAGTTCTGAAACAAAATAAATGCAGGCCAAGGCGAGAGGATTGCCTGAGACTAGGGGTTCGAGCCCAGCCCGGGCAACTTGGCAAGACTTCATTTCTGCAGTAAATCAAAAAATTAGCAGAACGTGGTAGGTAGCTCATGCCTGTAGTTTCAATTACTTGGAAGGCTAAGGTGGAAGGATCGCCTGAGCCCAGCAGGTCAAGGCTGCTGTGACCATGAGCATGTCACTGGGCAACAGAGTGAGACTCCAACGCAAAACAAAAAAAAAAAGAAAGAACTATCCCATTTAAGCTAAATGGGAGCTTAAAGGTAAATTTAAATGCCTATTTTTAAAAAAGAAGAAAGGACTCAAGTCAATAACGTAAACTTCCATCTTAAACTAGAAAATTAAAATAAACCCAAAGCAAACAGAAATAAGGAAACAATAGCAATCAGAAATCAGTGAGATAGAAAACAGAAAAATAGCAGATAGTAATAAAACCAGAGGTAGTTCTTTGAATAATATTAATAGAATTGATAAATATTTTGGGATATTTATGAAGGAAAAAGAAAAAGAGGGAAGACATAAATTACTGATACTGACCCAAGAAAACATTAGAAAACTGGAGCAGCCCAATATCAACAAACAGAATTGAATTCGTAATTAAGAATCTTTCCTCAAAGAAAGATAGCTTCATTAGTCAAGTCTTTCAAGCACTTAAATAGTTATACCCAATTCTGTTTTGGGAGCCGACCATGGAGGCCCACCTGAACGTTAGGGATCAAGGTGGACTGTAGACCCTGAGACCACTAGGATGTGTTCAGGAGCTGTTGGCCCATTTCCTCCTCCTTTTTTTTTTTTTTTTTTTTGCTTTTTAGCATATCCCATTAGAAGAAACTGCAGAGTGCTGAAGAGAAGTATTTCTCAGCTCAACACCATGTTTCATGGTTTCATGCCAATAAAATAAAAAAGGGGGAGATGGTGGGAGCCAGCCACGGAGGCCCACCTGAATGTTAGGGATCAAGGTGGGCCGTGGACCCCGAGACCACTAGCATGCAGTTCAGGAGCTGTTGACCCCATTCCTTCCTCCCTTTTTCATTTTAGCCAAAAGAATCTCTGCCTACCTAAGCTGAAGGCTCTGTGAATGTGACAGGCATGGCTCACTCTAGAAACTCATTGTTCCTGTTTTCCATGAACTGCGGTTTTGGCTTAGGTATTAGATATAATTTAAACTCAAGTCACAATTGGGAGCTTTTAATATGGTACAAGCTTCTTTATAAGATTTAAAAGTATATTTGTAGAATTAGTATATACTTATGGAGAGCTGTTTTCAGCTTTAGATGGTATAGATGATTATCTAGAGTTACCAGAAATGGCCCAGCATGAACTTTGGGCTGGGTTACATTCCTGAGGGCCCAGCACGTACTTTGGACTGGGCTGCATTCTTTTAGACCGGTTTTAGCTACAGTTAGTGTAGGGTTTTTCTACTTATTATAGAAATTGAATTTATTTTTTTCATAGAAAGTGTTATAGAATAGGTCATGCTAACATCAGGGAATTATGTTAGTTCAGGCATGATCAATCTTGATATTTTGAGGTTTAATAAGAATATGGCTAACTTTAGAAATTTCATTGTTCCCATTTTCTACTATTGTGGTTTTGGCCTTAGTACAATTTACAGTTTATATTTGGGTTTTATTTTTAGAAGCTTTATTGCTGATGATAAGCTTTCTATATTAGGATTAGGAATTAGAAACTTTTATAGAAATTAAGATAGATATATAGGATTTTAGAACAGCCATTTTGTTAAGAGATTGTAATCAATTGTTCCTAGAAACACTCCAGTGTGATCTTTTAGACTGGGCCACATTCTTTAGGAACTGGGTTGGGCTGTAATTAAGAGTTTCTATAATGTAGGTAGAATTAGCATAAAATAGAGAGGAATTAAGATTTAAGTTAGTCATTAGGTGTTGTGTATGCATAAGTTTTAAAAGTTATTGATCATTGGAATATTATGTTAGAAATTGTTGTATTGCTTTTGAGGAATATTAACCAAGCATGAGGAACAGTGAGATAATTTTGGGATTGCCCTTCCTCCTCATGCTTGAGGAAACACCTGGTGGGTGGGGGACACCCCTTACCCACCTGGCTTTGTGTTCATGTAAATATCTTGTGATTTGATTGGGATTGCCCTTCCTCATGCTTGAGGAAATGCCCGGTGGGTGGGGGATGCCCCTCATCCACCTGGCTTTGTGTTCATGTAATGTCTTGTGATTTAATTGGGATTGTCCTTCTTCATGCCTGAGGAAACACCTGGTGGGTGGGGGACACCCCTCATCCACCTGGCTTTGTGTTCACGTGAAAGTCTTGTGATTTAACCTGTGATAATTTGGGATAAAAGGATTACAGTTCGTCCCATTAAATGGCTTCTGCACTAGACAGAGTCCAGTCTCTTTCTTTCTCCCCTCTTTCTTTCTTTCTTTTAATATCTATCCCTACAGAATCGCCGATGCCACCACACCTCCCAAGGGACCCCCTAAATCTCTCTGCAGGGGCTGGCCCCCTGCAATTCTGTACAAACTACTTTAGAAAATAATGGAAGAGGGAACACTTCCCACCTCATTTTATAAGGTTATGATGACCTCTTTCCAAAAACCAGAGAAAGCTATTGTAAGAAAAGATAACTAAGTCAGGCATGGTGGCTTACGCCTGTAATCTCACCACTTTGGGAGGTGGAGATGAGACAATTGCCGGAGCCCAGGGTTTTAAGACCAGCCTGGGCAACTTCGTATGAGACCTTGTCTCTGCAATAAATTAAAAAATGAGCTGGGTATGGTGGTATGCACCTGTAGTTCCAGCTACTGGAAGACTGAGGCAGAAGGATTGCCTGAGCCCAGCAGTTTGAAACTGTGGTGAGCTGTGATTGTGCCATACTGCAATCCAGCCTGGATAGTGAGAGATTTTGACTCAAAAAAAGAAAAGAAAAGAAAACTATGGCCCAAAATACTTGTGAACATAGATATGGTATTTCTTAACAAAGTATTAGGAGACCAAATTCAACAATATGTAAAAAGGATAATACATCGTGACCAAATGGAGTTTATCTCAAGAATTCAAAGTTGCAGTAACATCTGAAAACTAATCAACTAAAGTCACCATATTAGTAGGATGAAGGAGAAAATCTGTATGATCGTTTCCATATATATAATATAATTATATATATAATACATATAATTATATATCATATATAATAAAGCATTTGACCAAATATATATAAAATATTTGACAAAATTCAACCTTTCATAAAAAGATGCAGCTGTCTAGAAATATAACTTAATTGATTAAGAATACATATATTTTTAAAAACCCTACTGCTTATATACTAATCAAGGGTAAAAGTCTCAGTGCTTTCTTCTCAGATTCTGAAACAAAGTGTGGATACTGCTTTCTTTACTTTTATTTCACATTGTACTAAAGGTCTGATCTAGGGCAATAAGACCAGAGACAGATATAAAATACATACAAATATGAAAGAAGAAATAAAAGTGTTCTTACTTGCAGGCAGTATGGTTGCATGTATGGAAAATCCAGAAAAATAAAAGCTACTAGAACTAATAAATTTAGTAAAACTTCAGTATACTAAGTCAATATAGAAAAATCAATTATGTTTTTAAATACTAACAAAAAAAATAAGAATGTGAAATTTTTTTTAAAAAGTCCCTAATAGCATAGAAGAGTACATCGTGTGTCATTATGACAGGAATATGTTATGAGAAATACATCATTAGATGACTGTGTAAACATCATAGGGTGTACTTAGACAAACCTAGTTTGGTATAGCCTACCACACGCCTAGGGTATATGGTACCTATTGCTCCTAGGCTAAAAATCTGTGCAGCATGTTACTGTACTGAATACTCCCGACAGTTGTAACATAATGACATTTGTGTATGTAGACATATTTAAACATAGAAAAGATACGTAAAAATATGGTGAAATAATCTTATGGGACCACCATGTATATGTCATCTGTCATTGACTGAAATGTTATTATGTAGGACATAACTGTATTTAGCAATAAATTCAGTTAAAGATCTGCAAGATGTTCACACAAAAAAATTACCAACACTGCATTGGGAAATTAAGCACATTAATAATTGGAGAGCTGTACCATGTTCATGGATTGGAAGACCTAATTTATTAAGATGGCAGATCCCCCCCAATTGTTTTATAGATTTAATGTAATTTCGGTCAAAATCCTTATAGACCGGACAAGCTGGTGTTAAAATTTATGTGAAAAAATTGATCCTTGATCTGGTAGCACAAATTAAAAACTTTATATAGGTGCTTCTGTGACTGATTCTTTAAACTATAAGCTGTGCTTTTTCTTCTTTTTCTTCTTCCTCCTTAAGAAACTTACTATGATCTGGAAACAATGAAAAATTTGACTTTCAGGACCTTTTCTCAGAACTTCTGTTGGACCACATACAAATCTTGAGGGTGTCAATGATGGATGTAAAATGGCAAAACAAAACATTTTTAAAAATTCAACAAATGTTTGGGGGGTCCATTTACTTAGTAAGTAGGATGTATACAGATAAATAAAACTTAAATGTACATTTAAATGATCTTAACTGGAGTTTTCAGTAATTTTTTCTTCTCTTTTTTCTTTAACATGCCTCTAGACAAATGCTATTATAGACTTTAGGCCTGAAATGACATGCTTTTAGGACTATTTTCACCTTGAGATTACAGTGGAAGAGTGTATGTGTGTGTGTGTGGGGGGGGGATCTGTAAATAGTTATATTTTTGTTTATTTCATATTTTATAAAATGAAAGTATTTGCATTATTTACCACCGCTGGTTAATGGGAAATTTTACTCACTTTTTATAGAGAAGAATGGACAGAAGCTATCCAGGCTGTAGCAGACAGACTGCAGAGGCAAGAAGAAGAGAGAATGAATTGTAGTCCAACTTCACAAATTGATAATATAGGGGAGGAAGAGATGGATGCTTCTACAACCCATCATAAAAGAAAGGTAGAAAAAAATAACTTAATCCCCTACTAAGAACAACATTTATTTGTCTAGAAGAAATATGCTAAAAACTGCCATTTGTAAAGCGGTCAGCCAACTTTCTTATGATATATAAATATGTATATAGAACCTTTTATTATATCAGTTATGAAAAGAATTAGAGAAGCTTGAATTATTTTTAATTTAAAACTGTAAACACACTTTTTGAAATAAATTTCTCATAATTTGTAGAATACATTTTTTTCTTTGCAAAATGTACAGTAAGATTAAGAGAATAGAGTTGCTGATTATGATAGCTGTGGTGAAAGTGGTTTTGACTACTATATCTTGCATGGAGATGAAGTGGCTACTTCCCTTAGTGTCGAAGTATTGCCACAGTATCTTCTCTGAGGGAAGACTATTGGGTGGTAGATAAATAGGCAAAGGGCTCACAACCTGATTTAAGTGCTGTTCTATGTTTGAATTAAAAGATGATGTTTTGAAGGAATTTGATTAGAGGACTCATAAGTGCCTAACCTTGGTCTACCAAGTTGCCATTCTGCATACTCTATCAGGTATGTGAAGGGCACAGCATAATAAGATAAAAAGCCAAAAAATAATCAGAATTCTACTTAGTTTTTTGTTTTTTTTTTTGGAGTTGGAGTCTCACTCTGTTGCCCACTCTGTCTCACTCCTGGCCACCACAGCCTTGATCTGCTGGGCTCTGGCAATCCTTCCGCCTCAGCCTTCCAAGTAGCTGGAACTACAGGTGCACGCTACCACGGCCAGCTAATTTTTGACTTATTGTAGAGATGAGGTCTCACCAAGTTGCCCAGGCGGGTCACGAACCCGTGGGCTCAGGCAATCCACTCACTTCAGCCTCCCAAGGCGCGGGATTACAGGCTGAGCCACCAAGCCCGGCTCTCTACTTAATTTTTTTTTTCCTTTATTAATCAATATTTTTTATTATGGTTTTGTGGGGTACAGTTAAGGGTTAGGTATACAATTACGTTTCATTCAGGCACCCT